CTTTTTTCCCCTTCCTTCCTGGGCTCCCTATAAAAATGATCCACGAGTTTGTGTCATGTAGACTTGCCATGCACTTGTTGTTTTTGTTGTGTGTAATAGGTTGAACATGAAAACTCAGTTCTACCAGGTGGATGACTTCAGCACACCTAAAATTCCATTTGAGGTTTAGTCCCAGAAATTAACACCAGGCCCAAACTTTGTGTCATTTTACTGTGTTGTTGCTGTCCCTCTGCTTTTTGCACCATCCTCATGATTGAAAGGGTTTTCTAGCTGTAAATCAGTTTTATATCCATCTGGAGGAAAGCATTCATGCAAGTGCAAGTCATCCTCACCATGAAGAAATCTTATCTTGTGTCCATTTTATTTTTTTTCCCCATTCTGTGACTATTGTTACAAAGTGCTTGAATTTTTAGGTGGTTTCTGGAGGCTTTTATTAAAAAAAAATCTGCAGAAGCAAGTGAATGAACTCTGAGCTTCCTTGTCTGTCATCTATAATTTATTTTTTAAATACTTAATGGGAGCTATTACAAGACATGCAGCTGTCTTTGAAACAGAATTTTACATCTGCAGCACTGTCTTTAAAAAATAATGGTGGTTATTGATAGTAACTGGCTTCTGTTGACCTCCTTCAAAACTCAAATTTGAAATATAATGGGACTAACGTTCCTGTTAGTCAGCTGGAAGAGTTAATGTGTGCCTTAAATCTAGAATCAGTGAATTAGTGATGGCAAATTAGGAATGAATGGCCCATGTGCTCTTCATCTGAGATTTTGCTTTGTAGTAGCCCAGGAAGCAGCTCAGGTGTAGGGAGATGCTGCTGCCTGGAGAGGATTGTTCACCACCACATTTCCCTGTTCCTTCTGGCTCAGCCAGAAATTAAAGGAGGTTTCAATATTGAACCCTTTTCATTTCTTAAGCAGCTTTTATGGTTTCTAGAAGGCATTCCATTTGATGTGGTATTACAGGATTTTTATTTTTTTTTTTCTTCCAGTTCAGGGTGTGATGGTGGTTGATGTTTAACCACTTAATAAAATCTCATCAGACACATGAATTAATTTAGTCTTTGATTCTTTYGCTCTGTTGTACAAAATACCTCAGGGTGTTGTCTGATAGTGGGAGATGAAGGTGAGGGGGGAAAAAAATAATCAGATTTATCTGTTGTCTCTGTCATTAGCAGATAGAGCTTTTACTTTTGCTTGTAGCTCCTGGCCCACAGAAACACCAAATTAGTGATGTGGGCAAAGGAAAGGAGCTGAAGGTTGGGATTGGCAGTGCCTCTGCACACAGATAAAGCAGTTGTGCTTATGCTTATATGGGAGAGCAAAACAGGTCTGGTTCTCCCCAAAATGTGTTTATTTTGGAGGGGTGTTCAGTGCCAAAAGTGAGTATGTGAGTTTTCTGGAGGTAGTGTTGGCAATTAAGCAGACAGCAGGGAATTCTGCCTTCAGCAGACAGCTGAGGGAAGGTGGAAGGAGGAAAAAGGATGAATCAGGCAGTTTTACTTGGTGTTCATTTGCATTGGAGTTATTAGCCAAAGTTGTTATTTTGTCTCTCAGATTTTAAAGGGAGCTTTTAGTATCTGTATTGGCAAATTCCCTATTTCTCAGTTTGGGCAAAGGAGAGACCTAAGCCAGGCTTTACACATTTTTCTATTTGCTTTCATTTCCCTCCATGTTTGCACAGTTGGATTTTTGCCCGAAAGTTACTTTGCTGATTTCTRCCCCCTCCCAAGAAATTGCCCTTTTTTTTTTCTCTCGGTAATTTGATAAGAAATGTTATTAATTACTTACAAGGAATCACATTGTTCTGTAGGCTTAACATTTTGCTTTGAGCCTCTTGAGAGTTGCAGCTGCAATCACACAAAACAAACTATGCCTTGGAGTACCTCGTTGGGTTAATACAGTTTGAAATTAGCCTTTGGAGGAGTCAGCTCTGTCATTAAAYTGTTGTGACTGTTTCCTCAGAGCTTTAGAAATTGAGTTAAGCTGTTGGGTCCGTTTGGATCTCTGTGTGTTGAAGTATTTTTTTTTTTTAGACTGAAGCAGGGTTGTGTGATAAATATTGATGGTCTCTTTAGCAACTTTTGCTTTCTCTAGAACAGCTATGTAAGAGTTGTCATTTATAAACTGCCTCCA